AACAGCAAAGTGAAAACCCATCCTTTCCAAAAAAAAATTTATATAGGGCATCTTAGTAAATCAAGTAATCACTGGAGGATTCTGTCCAACTGTAATATCCATTTTCTCAGCGAAGGATCATCCAAAGGGACGAGCAGCTCATTCCCCATTTTTGAACAATTATTTAATTTTAGCTATTGTCCCATTCTTCTTGTCAGCCTGATAGAGAATAACGAAGAGATTGGAGAGACAGAGAGAAACCCATAACGAAGTTAAGTGAGCCTTGGAGTCTACTTTTCAGGCAGGAATGCTGTAAAATTCCAACAGAAATTCTTCAACCTCCCACGTGTTTGCAGCTAAATGAAAGTAGGAGAACAAGCTGTTTCTTATACAGTTTTCCACCATCATCACACTCTCTTCTTAACACATCCTAACATTTCTAGCTGCTCTGTCCATCTACACAGGATAAGCAAAGGTTTTCTGAACAAAGCCTTCAAACTCGGATGGCGTGTTTCAAAGTCGAGTGTTTCCGAAGTCGGTCACGAGAACTCAACCCCCATTTCACAAGTAGAAATTAACTTTACACCAGAGCACTGGAAACTGATCCATAAAATCATGCGTTGAATCACTTTTAACACCTAGGATTCTCGGAATGGAACCTCTAATCATGCACAACTTCCATAATTTATTTATTTAATTTTTATACAACCCATATGACCAAGGGTCACTTGAGCGATTCACAAACTGCAGCAAAATACAATAAATAAAAAAAAATAAAATAAATAAATATGACCAAGGGTCACTTGAGTGATTCACAGACTGCAGTCGTAATGTGAAAATAACATAATCAAAATTAACTAAACACAAAAACGAATATTAAAACAAAAGTTAAAGCCGGCAGCAATTGAATGAAAGACTGATAGTCACAGAATTCTTAAGTTGGCAGGTTTTGAAAAGCCTGACGGAAGAGATGGCCTTTGAAAAACTTCTTAAAAGATGCCAAGAAAGGGGTGGGGAGGTAAATTTCAGCAGGTAATTCATTCCAGAGGTGAGGGGCAAATGCAGAGAAGGCCCTGTTCTTGTTCTCTCCTTCTGGGCCTCCCTTGGAGTTAGCCCTTCAAAAAGAGAGAGGGTCTCAAACTTCATACAGTTGACAACACATCGAGGCCCATAGCTCTGCAATGAAAATCCAATAGAATCATCTTCAAAGTGAATGGGGATGGGTGGGGATTTTATTCCAAATACTTAAAAGAAATAGTCCATGCCAAGGTTTACGAAAAACAAAGTCTAGGAACAAAAAGTTTTGCCAATGACCGTCTGGCATGGGATACGATGGGAGCCTTGCCCATTAAATCAAAAGAAGAGACTCACCCAGGGATAACGGCAGCCAGAAAACCCATACACAAATGGTTTCCCATCACAATGTTCGCTCTTGGGCTGCAGCAAAAAAAAATCCACATTGACCTGAGGTGTACCTACGGATACGAAACCAAGCCAAGCTCCATTTCCACGATTTGTCCTTTAGAATTAATTAAAATAAATTGATGGATTGTAGATCAAGTTTCTAGCCAAGACTAGTGAAATGGTTAACCTCTTGGGTAATGAAAATACTAAATATGTATTACATACATTGCTTCAGTCCTCCTATCTCAGGTTGAGAACAGATTTTCACTTAAGAATGAGTGCGCCAAAACAAAATTTTCACTAGCAGGACTTCTTGCAAAGGACAGGCTAATAGAGGAATCAAGACTTATCCTAGTAAGGTTATGAACTCATTCTTCATACGAAATCAGGCTACTTGTAAGTCTGCTTTAAGTTGACATTTTGGGAGCTGAGATAAGATTCCAAGAGTTGAAATTAAAAAAAAGATAAGCATATGTGTTTCCATTAAAACACACACACACACACATTAAATGGATTTCTTCTGCTCGAAGTCTAATGTTCTTTCTAATAATATCTTTATTTTTATGTATCTAAAGCAATGTGACAAGAAAACATACGGGGGTGGTGGTGGTCTGAGATCTGCAGGAAACAGTGAATATAGGTATCGGTTTATATATTTCTGATCCATTGGGGAAGAGTACGTAATTATTTCTGCCACTCTTAAGCATACAGAGAACACTTTGGTAAGGCAAGAAAGCTAGGCAACTCCGATATTTTGGCAATCTTCTAGGATCCAACACATCTCCAAATACTTGGAAATTCAAGCAGCACAAAAAAAAGGATATCCACTAATTACAGGGAAAGGCATACAAGTTGTGGAGAGAATGTTTTGGTCTTTTTATGGAAGAGCAAAACCTAGTTCCTGTCTTCAAGGACATGGACAACAAACTCAGAGTGATGAAAGCGCTTTTGGGAAAAGAAAACAGAAACCTCTGAAGAGATAGTGAAATGCCTTTTAAAAAGCCAACATCTTGGTGTTTAGGAAAATGTTAACACATTCAAACACAAAGATGACAAAGCTTTGATCCGGCTTGTAGATGATGAACATATTCCAGAAAAATATTTGGTCGGACTTTTTTAATTGCGAGAGGGGGAAAAAACAAAACACCCAATTAAAATCTGTTTCCAGAACTATTGTTCCTGACTAATCTTTCTCTTGGCCAGATGTTGTTAGACTTAAAATGATTACAGAGGAGGACTTCATGTCTACATGAAGCAAAATAAGAACACTCCAACATTAACCTTTGATTTCTGGGCCTAACCTGGAACTACCCTGAATCTTGGCTAATTGCTCCATTTAAATGTGGCTATTTATTTCTAATTTTTACAACAACTTGGGGTAGGGTTAACTTTTGAATCATTATGCAGTTAAAAGTCAACACCAGCATCTGATGCCGTGTCTCCTACATTAGATGACAAAGCTTTGATCCGGCTTGTAGATGATGAACATATTCCAGAAAAATATTTGGTCGGACTTTTTTAATTGCGAGAGGGGGAAAAAACAAAACACCCAATTAAAATCTGTTTCCAGAACTATTGTTCCTGACTAATCTTTCTCTAAGCCAGATGTAGTTAGACTTAAAATGATTACAGAGGAGGACTTCATGTCTACATGAAGCAAAATAAGAACACTCCAACATTAACCTTTGATTTCTGGGCCTAACCTGGAACTACCCTGAATCTTGGCTTATTGCTCCATGTAAATGTAGCTATTTATTTCTAATTTTTACAACAAACTGGAGTAGGGTTAACTTTTGAATCATTGTGCAGTTAAAAGTCAACACCAGCATTTGATGCTGTGTCTCCTACATTAATGGACTTACTCACTGTGCAATCTTTCACATATCTAAGTGATTCCCCCACAAATAAATCTGTGCAGGTACTAAAACGTTTGGATGTATACTCCATTCAGTTCTTCTCTCTTAACTCTTAACACGGGTCTCCCATCCCAAAGACAAATCAGCCCTGCAACCACTTAGCGGATGTAGGTATCTATGCTACCAATTCAGGGACACTGAAATAACACTATTAAAGTAGCACACATCTGGTCAAAAGAAAGTCTAATTATCTTAACATTTTAATTTGTCAATGTCTCACCTGAAACACATGATCATTTTAAAGCAGGGGAACCTAACCAGAGCAGACAATGTTAAGACTCCCAACTCTCATCAGCCCCTACCAGCCTAGCCAACAGTGACTTGTAGTTCAACATTTGGAAGGTGATAGGCTTCCCAATCCTGCTCTAAAAGGGTCTTGTAGATCAATCCACAAACATTATTAACCTGCAAGAATCACTACTAGCTATGGACACGCCTTGTTGGATTTGATCAGAGGATATCGTCTAGTCAACATTCGGTCCCCAAAGTGGCCTACCAATTACGTGTGTGAAGAGAAACCAGCTGAAAGCAATCCCTTTAAAAACACAGCTCTGCTTCTACCCAAGCACTGGACAAAATATATATCCATCATGATTAGCAGCCCCTGACAGCGCCATTCTGCATGAACGGGATATACTGAGACTTTAAAAAACTGATATGCAGATGTTTAGATGTCAGAACACCAATGTAGACATTTTTCTCGTTCCGTTGGCCTTTGTCCTGACGTCTTACCATTTCTGAAGGTTATGTACACCAGCAATAAGGAGGGTGCTGATTACACCTAAACGAGATGTTCAACAAATTCAGCTCTATGAAAAACGGTACTTCAGAGAAAAGGGTGATGTGAACATGACCCTAATGTCTTATGCTCCATTTCTTATAGTGATAATTTCCCTATAGATGTCACTAAATATTTCATTAGTTTATTAATTTATAAGCTTTGTTGTGTGGGTTCTGCAGTTGTTGTGCAATTCTCTCTCCCCCTCCTTTAAGTTTTTGGCACCAGAGTCAGGAGGCCTAATTACTGACGGCTGGGGCTTGAGCATTTACTAAATGTCCTCTTAGTTGTTTGTTGTCTGTAATGACAGCTTTCATTTTAATACAAAACTAACATGCGGCGAACAGGCGGATTATAGAAAGGATTTAAGAGGAATAGAGCTACAGGTTCAACTTCGAGTCTCCTGCTTTGATCGGCAACAAGAATTTCCCCCACCACCTTATTAGTGTCCTTGTGGTACCCTCCCTGCCCTTTATTCTCTTTAGGTGAGTCTTGATCGTGGCCTTATGGTTTGACTTCGAAAAGACCATCCTTCCTTCTCCCACAAAGAATTCAATTAAGAATGCTGGGAGCATCTGAACAAGGACGGTGACACATGCTTAAGAACAGGATCCAGAAGAACACAGCCTTGCTTGTCCCTTGATACTCTTCCACCTCCTCTCCTTTCTCGAGGGCTTTCCACAAACTGCTAGAAAATCTTCTTCCATCAAAATGTTGACTGCTATGAGAAGTTCCAGCATCCTCAGCAGAAAAACAATATTATGCATGCAATTCCTACTGTGAAACCCCTCTTTTCCCCAAGCATGCTCTGCTAAGGACTGAAATGCTCAGAGCCAGCTTAGGACTGGTAGCTGGGCTCGGCGGGGCTTTAAAAATATTATTTTTAAATGCATTTGAATGCAACGTGTGCTATGTCTTTGTACCTTTTTGTGTGCAAAGAATCACCTGGACTGTTCACGAAGATTCTGAAGGCTGACAGAGATCCTTGTGCCTCTTTCTCATGCGCTGGTCTTGAAGCCCCACCACCCCTGAAAAAGCAGTGATTTGAACAAGGTGTGCTGAGGTGCCTCTGAAGTTTAATTTTGGGGGTGAGCAAAGGGGTGTGAAGGTTTTCAACAAGTAACTCCTAGCTGCTGACTTACTGAGGTGGTAGCACCAAGGTGGTAGGCTGGGCCTTGGGTCTTCGTTTGGCAGATACTCCCATCTGGTTGGCAGACCGCTTCAAGGACTGCTGATTGAGAAGGCTAGAGGCCAGCCCAGCATGATACTGCAGCTAGAAAAGGGGGAGGTGGAGAGAAAACGTGAAACTGGTTATAAGACAAAAAGGCTTTTCTTTTGAGCTCTCTGCAATAATTCATAAAATAGACGCCTATGCATGTCGCAAAGATGATTTGAGCAGAGAACACAAATGTTTACTTAAGCAGAAGCAGGACTAAGTAAGACAAGACTGTTGGAAGAAAACAGCTGATCATTGACACGGCATTTTACAGTATTTTGGCAGGTGCTTCCAGCGTTGTCTGGGAGTTATAGTTCTTTCACAACAAGTGCTATCACATAATCTAACAGTTTAGGGGATGGCAAAAGAGCATTTTATTTGTACCTGCCCAAACATGCTTCGTGGAGTCGTTGATCGGTGGGGCTTTCTCAAGAGAGATTCATGAAGGTCACTACTGCTCTTCTTCTTCTTAGACAGTGACCCCACAGCTAGCAATGGAAAGTCACAGAGACTCTACCGCTTAAGTAAAAGAACTCTAGATGCTAGAAATCAAAACTGATCTTAGCCTATGCCACATATCCCTCTACAGAAATAACAGAGCACATACATCTAGGGGACAAATCTTCTCCAACGGAACTCACATAACTTCCCTAAGTTTAAACAACAACACTGAATTATAAGATTGACAAGAAACTGGTGCAGAACATCCATAACCCACATCCAAATGGGGAGTGCTCTCTTCTGGGTCTTGGCCACCCAATAATGTCTATTTCTAGGACATTATGAGCTGTATCGCTTCTTCTCCTGTTCTTCTTTTCTAACTAACATCCAAAACCTTGTGACTCTGAGCAGTGAGTTTACACTGTCATCCCTTTCATAATTGGGAACTGTCCCCTTTACAGTTTTTTTAAAAAATAGCATTCTGTAACTCTACAAACCTTGTTTCCCTCTGAGTATGCCAATACCTCCCTCCTGTTACCTCAAAGGCTGGCTCCAGCTATACTGGCATGGGGGCAATGTCTTAGCAATTAAGGGGAGTGATGTTGTATTCAATAAAGGAAAAGAACAGAATTAATCAGGGGAATTATATTGCATTGCAGCTGCCATAATCCCACGGACATGGCCAAATTCCTTTCAGTGTGTTTTTCATATTCCCTGGGGAGAGCATCCTTTCCCGGCCTTGGGTCCACTAGTGTTCTGTTTGTTTGTTCTGCCTGTGGATCCAGAGGTTGGGAGTTCGATTCCCCCATGGTGCCTCCTTGACAGAAGCTAGACTCAATGATCCAGAGGGTGTCTTCCAGCACTGCAGTTCTAATACGATGGTGATGATTATAAGAGAATTAGGACTGATTATTTAACTGAAGAAAATGAATTGGTGGGTCGAGTTTCAAAGCACTTACACAATACAAACATAAAGATGACTATTTTCAGGCTACACAGAAGCACTCAGAAAAGTAAAGACATTTGGAAAAATCAAATTAAGCCATTTAAGTAACAGAACATTCTTAATATGGTTAAATCTCTTTTTTTAAAAGGTTACATGAGGAGATGCAGGAAAAGGAAACACAGCATACAGAGACACACAGATGTAAAGCAGGAGATAAATATGAGGAAAAAGTCTCTGTGATTATGTCAAAAAGATATATTTATCCACAAAATAAATGGTAGATTGGATTACCCTGGGAAGCTTGTGAAATGGGCAATTCAATAAATAAAATTGCTGGTGTCTGTGTAACATCAAACAGAAGATCTCTGACGGGCTGAAATCCTGTTGGGGGGGATTCTGTCTGCACCACAGGAATTATGTCATCGTGAGCGGCAGAAAGTCATAAATATTTCCTGTTTCCATTCTGGGATGCACACAACTTTGTCTCACTGTGTGCGAGCCTCAAACTGAAAATGGAATACTTCATTCAGCAACAATTTACAAGCTACTGTATAGTCTTTCTTTTAACACCAGCCCCCCCACCAAACTACAAAGTCCCTATTAAAAATAAGCTCTTTTCCCCAGAAAAAAAGGGAGGGTGTGTTCCAAGTTACAAGTCAAGTCAGAGTCATTGGAAAAACAAAATAACCACAAATAACCCAAATCAAGTCACCAGTGCAACTTAAGTCTGACTTGACAGCAAACCCCATGACTCAAGGCCCCATACCCCTGGTAGTGTCCAAGAAGCTCCAAGTAATAACATTTAGGAAAAAAAATGTAAAAAGCTTTCCAGAAAGCTGTGTAGTGAAAACGAGAGCGACAAATAAAATGTTTTTCTTATAACATTAATGAAACCATCCACTGAAGAAACTAAATTGTCAGTGGATTCCTTGCTATCCCTTAAAAACCTTCTGCTTTGCCGTGTGATCTTGGAGGGCGAGGTAAGGATGCACAGCATTCTTGATAAAAGCAGAGTTACTTTCTGCTAGAGAAAGGGTAGGGTATCATTTCGCTCTAACACGCTCATCTCAGGCCAGTGAATTTTGCTCAAATTCGTTTTTTCGCGCACAGGTACCTTAAATGGGAAATCAATGCATGCGAGGGACAGTAGAAGTTTGAAAGACAATGTTTCAAAACGTCAACCGCTCCTGCTTTCGATCTTCATGGCTAGAATGTGCAATGAGAGCAATATGTGTCACCTTTCGTGGGATTAAAGGCACCCCGAGCTTGCCAAAAGATCCTTCCCCTTCTGACTCAAGGCACTTTCCCTTATCTTTCCCTTTATGGTGTCCTATTAAGCTCAATCGTTTAGACTTTGCTGACACCACCCTGGAAAAGGAATAGCTTGTTACAGACCAAGTGGTGGCAAGCAGGGCATCTTGGCCCAATTTAGACAGCCTGCACAATGGAAAGGACACAGATACCCTGGCAACTAATCAGGAGTTGAATTTTGACTTCTGACATTTAGAAAGGAAATCCTACGCTGAGCTATCCCACTAGGATCTTTGCTCCAGGGGTCATCTCTAAGAGCAGAGGAACCTATTGTTATTTTTTTAAAAAACCCACTCACCCAACATCCTTTTCGTCCTTGAAGGCCAGCTCCTCCTGATTAAACTACTTTTTGTTAATCACGTAGAAAACAGACCTTCTCTTTTTCTGCCCACCTACTTCTTCTTCCAGGAACAAAAGACCCAACCGTCAAAGATCTATAAGGGCCCATTAAATATTTACCAAACCCTCTTTATAATAGGAGAAAAGGTCAAAGTTAATAAAACTGACAGGCAGTTCTTGTCCAACTTGATTTATGCATTATTTAAGCAGCACACACTGTATTTCACAGAACGGAGTCCCATTCTTTTCGGCTAGAGACATTTTCTTAGCCTTTGGGTCGAAGGACAGGGCCCAAAGACTGTGGCCAATCCAGAAAATATGGTCCATAAAATGTAATATTTAAAGAAAGAAACTGGCAGAGACATTTAGGTTACAATTTTTCTCGCGGAAACTAACATCTTTCCATCACATCTTTTCAGTACACTCCCAAGGACTAATACTGCACATGGCTTGGTGACATGATTTTTCTCAGGGATCACACCAAACCATGGTCAAAGAAGATTATTAATGATTTGGTATAATGAATGGTCTGACACAATGTGTTAAGTAAGCAACTTGCAAGCCAGAGTCCTAGATCATGGGCAGAACAGGTTTAAATCTGAAAGATCGAATTTAACCATCCGACCCAACCACCCCCAAAATGTGCGCTCTTGCTTGCCTTTAAATCTGAAAGATCGAATTTAACCATCCAACCCAACCACCCCCAAAATGCGCCGTCTTGCTTGCCTTAGTAATTATTTCAATTTAATACATATTTTTCACAGGCTGCTTGTCCATATTGTCTCCCTCTCCAATAATCCACTTCCAGTGAAACTGTGCATTTTCAGCGTGAGAGAGGAAAGGACTTGATTTTGTCTACACAAAGTAGCAGAGGGACGATAGCTGGGTCTGCCACTTTTAAGGAATTAGCATCACTCAAGGAAACTAATGAATGGATATTTTAACAGGGCTTCTAAGATTCCAGGAACACGAGAAAAAAGGGGCTCAGGACGGAGGGGCTCAATGAGGAGCAAATCAAGGATTGTCTTTAGCCATATTCCTCCAATAAAAAAACTGACCCGTATGTCATTCCATCTTCCTACAGTCGTTATGTCAGACATCCTTACTGCCTCCCTCACAGTGCTGTCAACAATGGATTCCATTTTGCTTCCAGATGCTAAGCAGCAAAGACCTCTCAGATTAAAATGTGTTCTATACTTGCTGCCCCTGAATGCTGTCATTTCAAATCAGCAACTGCAAAGTGGATTCCCTCAAGATCTGGAAACTTTATTGAAGCAACCTGCAGAAAGAAAATAATTCTCCCCACGGCAAGTCGAACCACCTATTGATCCCTCTATTGCTACGGAAGTGCGGTTAGTTTATAAATTAGATATTTAAAAAGTTTACACAAGGACACAAGAAAAATGTTAATTTTAAGTATTACAATTTTTCTATTTTTTCTGAAATTGTGGATCCTATGGATGTACCAAGCCCCTACTCTCTGGCTTAATATATATGCCTACAGCTGAGATCCCCACAGACGAAAGCGGTCTCAAGCGTTTTGCATAGTACAGTGGGCTATGGTAAGAAACCAGCTGCCCAAGCTACCTCTGTTAACACAAAGAAGGAAACAAACACCAGACATCAGTAGCAGGGTGGATTTGAACTTACAAACTGCTGAAAAGGAGAACACAGTTGAAAACCAAATATTCAGTCTGTGTTCCCAGTGAAAAGCAGATCAGGTACACCTCAAATAACAGCTTGACACTCCTCCTCATATTATACAGGTCAATGAGCGCAGTATACAGGTAATTCTGCACAAGAGCATTAAAATCTCAGCATATTATACAGGTCAATGAGCGCAGTATAATTCTGCACAAGAGCATTAAAATCTCACAACTAAGTTCCATGCACTTTTCCCCCTTCTTTCAAAAGCAAGTAAGGGTGTTTTGCTTTTGTTTTTACATCTGAACCATACATATTTCTATTCTGCTTTGCAGACAAAAAGGTGTCTCTCGGAACAGCACCTATCCATCAAAAG